GTTGCACTTACTACACTTTAGGTATAACTTGCAATTATATTCATAGTCGTTGTTATGAATATATAAATAAGATTTATCAGTAATTCCAGTCATAAAATTGATTGATATACTTACGGGAGAGGTATCTAGAATGGTCACGTTGGTTTGGTTGTTGGATTTCAGAAAGGCTATATGCCAAAATGCTCCTGCCTCCCAACTTTCCTGTCTGGTTGATCCTTATTTGATATAACTCTCAGTATTCATTGGGAATAATGAAAAATCTAGCTTTTATTACCAAATTGTCATAGAGATTAATAAGTTATACTATTATAGGTTAATACATGTTAAACGCGTTACGCGTTGCCCGCCAGTAAGATCACCCAGATAGCTGTCAATTGTCTAAGTAATTATCCAAGTGAGTTTTATCACTATATTGTTTACTCCAATATGTATCATTTGTATGGTAGGATATAGTTGTCTTGTAGTATACAATTAGGCTAGTTCAGTAGTGTTGGATTCTTGTGTTTTATATATATATATATATATATATATATATATATATATATATATATATATATATATATATATATAGTTGTCTTGTAGTATGCAATTAGGCTACTTCAGTAGTGTTGGATTCTTGTGTTATATATATATATATATATATATATATATATATATATATATATATATATATATATATATATATATATATATATATATGTGTGTGTGTGTGTGTGTGTGTATGTGTGTGACCCAGCCTCGGAGGCCAATACACTCGGGTGGACTAGCATTATGCGAAAGGCCAAAGTAGCGGACCAACATTATGTTGAAGGTCATTATGTGTATGCATTTTATATGTATTGAGGGATATGATATTTTGCGGAACCCACTAAGCTTCGTGCTTAACCAATTGAATATATATGTTTTTTAAGTACTCTGATGATTTGTAAGAAGGGCAAGGTTTGACTGTACACACACGCATTCGCAACATGTTTCTATATAATGTAATTATACTCTGATATATTTGAATAAATAAAAATGAAAATTTTATGTTGAAAAACGGGACGTTACATATCATCATCTATATTTTCTTCCATAAAATTTGATAATTGCCAGTGGAAGACACCTTTAAAAATATGTTACCCACTTGATCAATTTTTGAGAAGTCATAAATTAAATTTGATTTGGATTTCCAAATTTAGACTAAATAAACAATATGTTAGAGAAATGGTGTTGGTTTTTGAAAGAGGTTCCTACATGTAACAGGTAGATATGTCATTGGGATCAAATACAAGGATGGTATTCTCATGCCTGCTAACATAGGAGGTTAGATGATTTCTCTAACCTTTTGAATCTTTTTAAGTTTTGTTGACTTGTACAATGAGTTATCATATGCAATCAATTTTTAAGTGATGTTAATATGAAATTACAAGTATAACAATAGAGTAATGTTATTGCTAGATGGTATATATGCCAAGGTCCTATCAATGTCATTGCATTTTCAGTTGATGTATGTATGCATATGAGTAGGTTTTTGTTGTTTTGAATATTTTGGTCATAGTAATTATTGTTTATTCTTTTAATTTGGAAAGATATCATATGGATCCTACTAATATGGATGAAAATATGGCAAAAAATGATTTTTATAAGGCCTTTTGAATCTGTAAGTTTGTTCCCTTTTTAAATTTTTATTTATAACAACTGGCTTGAATGCAAGTAATAGCATCTTACCTTCATTACATTAATGATTCTTAGAACATAAACTGGCATTCACTAATAAATTATTTAACATTACAGTAGCACTTGAGGACTACCAACTCTTGGATCTCATGTGTTAATCTGGGTCTAAAACCATCAAGTGCAGTTCAAGCATGCAAAACAAATAGAAAAACGATCAGAATGATAGTGATAACCAAGATAAAAAATTACAGAAGAGTAATTTAGTCAAGTATGTACTAATTAGTAGTTACTATTATGAATTATAGTATTGGCTTTAATCGATTAGTGTGAACAAGTGTATTACTTTAGAATGGGTATTAGGGAACTCGTGGGTTGGTTAGAAAGAAAGTAACTGACATAATTATGCATTAACTATCAATTGGCGGTTACACTCTAGATTTGTATAAATATGTATGTTTAATATACATAAATGATATAAATGTTTATTGGTTGTGTGATTAATAAAAAGAGTCTACGTTTCCTACATAATTCTTCCTGTTTACATATTCTCGTAGAAATACCAACCATATTCACCGCTATAATTAGATTTTTTTTGGAAAGATTAATGTTATAATTAGGTTGTTTGCCATGGAAACAAATTAAAATAGTTCATTTCAGGAATTACCGAATTAACCCTTATGATGTGTAGGTTTTAAGAGTTGCAGATAAGTTAAAAAGATATTCTACATATTAAAGTTGAAGATTTTGTTGATGGTTATGATGGGGGGATAAGCAATTACAAGAGAGATGCCACCTTTTGAAGCTGAAAGCTGCAACTGCAAATTTGGTTAAAGACTGGACAAAGTTGAGACTACATAGGTTGAAAGAATGGGTGGATACAAATGTCCAACAAGAGGTGACTTCATTAAATAAATAGCAATGTACTTTACCAAGAATTCTGATTATAGCAACTTACTTTTTGTAACAACGTAATTTTTAAAACAATTTTTCATTTTTAAAATCATACTTTCAATCACACGATAATCACAAAACATAATGTATCCACTGTGTCATAACAAAACATGTCCCAGAATCTCAATAACATAAACTCCATAAGTGTGTACGGATCATGTCGGCGCCTTCCCGCGATCATCACTAGTACCTGAAACACATAACATAACAACTGTAAGCATAAATGCTTAGTGAGTTCCCCAAGATACCACATACAACACATACGCCTTTCCAGGCCATAACTCTGTAGGATCTTCCGATCCATGTGTCTCAGGGGACTTCCGTCCCGAATCCCGGTAGGCCTTCCGGTCCTACCCGTATCGACCTTCCGGTCCGTAACCTCTTGACCTTCCGGTCCATATCAACCTGACCTTCCGGTCCTTACTATACATAACATACATAGCACATACATATCACATAACTGCATATAGCACATACATCATAGCATACAAGACCTTCCGGTCACACATAGGTACCCTTCCAGGTACAGTATAGTGAGAAGACTCACCTCAATGAAGTCGGATAAACTCTCGTGCTCAACGTCCCGACCTAGCCTCCTCCTATTATTCAAATAACATTCCCGATCAATATTCTCTCATAATCTCATCTCTACAGATTGGGTAGAAGGCCATTCTACCCCTCTCTGAACTCTCTTGAATCAGTCTTGATCATAACCCTAAAGTCAACGAAAGTCAACGGTCAAACTTTGACCCGACTCGTCGAGTGCACAAGGGCGACTCGGCGAGTCCATGCGGGTTCTCTGAATCCTTCTAGCCTCTCTTGGCTCGTCGAGTCATCGACCCACTCGACGGGTTACACCTGTCACGAATCGCGGGGCAACCCCGACTCGACTCGTCGAGTCCCATTATGGACTCGGCGAGTTGCATCCATGTCAACACTGAAATGACCTTCTGAGGTCAGATCTATTTCTCTAACATATAGATCTGGCCTTCCCAACCACTATAATCACGTAAAGGTCCGACCTTTACACTCATGCAATGTCCAATAAGCTATTTTGGGTGAAATAACCTCTAGAATGGCATTCTAGGGTCATATCTCTAATGGAGTAGCAAAAAGCAAGGTAGATAGGATTCTTTGGACCTCTTAAGGTCCAGATCTAAGAAGAACTCCACCTTGGGACCTCACATACTTCGAATCCAAGCCAAAGAAGGCATAATAAAACCCTAGATTCAAGTATATCACCAAATACACGAGATTGAGCACAGATTAGTACCTCTAGCAGCCTCTTCTGATCAAATGGGTGATAGATCTGAGCTCCTTAATCTTCCTTGTTTGTCCTCCTTCCTTCTTTCTTGCAAAAACACACTTAGAATGATGAATTAGCCCTCCTCTTGCACTACAAGCTTTCTCTCTGCTCTCTAGGGTTTCTCAGGGATGCATTGGCCACACATGGAGGCTATAAAGGCCTTTAAATAGGGCACAGACCCCGAGAATTAGGGTTTCACTTTACAGCTCGGACTCGCCTAGTCCACGCATCGACTCGTCGAGTCCTTCATTAAATCAGACAAGAAATGCGCGCTCCTACTCGGCGAGTCTGAGCGCCTACTCTTCGAGTCTCTCCATAAAACTCAAGATAAATGAACTTTATAGTATACCTGGAAATCCGGATGTTACACTTTTGTTTTTAGTCATAACAGAAATCGATTTTTAATTTCTTTATGATTATAACAAAAACCGAAATTGTCACTAGATTGGAAGTACGTTGCTATTATAGTAAAAGTCAACACACTGGATTAGATTTCATTTGGAAATACTTTGTCCCTCTTATGTCCATTAAATAACAAAAACACCACCCAATATTTCAAAATAATAAAAGTATATTGCTAAAATATGCAATTTTTTCTTTATGATTTTGTCCATGGCATGCTCTTTTATCATTGTGTTTCTTTCTTAAATATAGATAGTGCAAAGAAAAACCAAAACAAAAAGACTTGTGGTTTAGCACAGGATCATCCACTAGTTATTAAATTATATTTTAACATATTTAATTAAAAAAAAATGAGAAGTGGTTGTGGTGCTGATATGACATCCTAACTATTAGAAAATAATTGATGTTTTGGTCTCGAATGAATGCACGGATCGATATTGTTTTAGGTGTTTATTTTTTGCAAATTTTGTTTGTATTAATATGAATTTTTTAAACAAAAAGTTCCATTCCATTTTTATTTTATAAATTCATGTAGTATACGTGTTCGGTATATGGGGGTATCATTAACTTATCGGGTCTTCCACATGGAAAACTAATAGAATAATCTGACTCTTAACATAATAATAACAATAATAGGCATATTGACGGATAACATAATATATCCTTAAAATAACATAATATATCCTTAAAATAATACGTTCTACTTGTAATTAAACTTTAGATAAAATATCATCAAGAGTGACACCAATATCCTTATACAATTTCCACACACGTGGCACATCCTTATCTCTCGCTGCATAATCTAATCCTGTGACATCATTAAAAAGTTTGGAATAAAGATTCCGAAGTTGAGGTCTTTCATTTCCAGGCTTCCCTTGAATTATCGTATAAATGTCTTGTTTCAAATAAGAAGCACTCTTCCTCAATTCCTTTTGCGCCTCTTTCCATGATTCCAATTCCAACAGATCTTTCACTTGTACCAAACTCATCGCATGTTCTCTGATTCCATTCTCAGCTTCCTCCACTGTCTGGTCAGGAACAGTCATTCTAAACATGTCTAGAATCGAAGATTCAGCTGCATATGCTTGTTGGGAATGGAATGGAATTGGAGAAGAAAGGAATAGGAATAGTGATGTTGCCTTTCTTCTTGTGATGTGGGTGTGTTTACAATGCAATTTTGTTTCTTGCATGCGCTTTTCATTGTGTTTTCCTGCACATGAACATGTGAACAGTCAAAATGGTATTAATTCAATCGTAATAATAAGAAAATTATACATTTCAATTTTATCGATGGTTGTGTGAAGTTTTATCATATTAAACAATTACTAACAATTAAAAAGTTATCCAAAATTGTGTAACGCGATTTATCTTTACCTGGAAGAGCAAGAACATCAAAAGTTGTCATCGTCTGCCAAAGTAAAGCAACCATTCTTCTACAACATGGACATCTTGTTTAATGTTGAGACTTGAGAGTAAATGTGTCAATTATTAGTCTGCAAATAAGAATAACATTAGGGCTAATTTCATCGTTTTATATCATGCCTCATTAGGTATAATTTAGTATTTTAGTATATTTTAGATTTTAATAAGAAAAAGAATGTAATGCAACCATTCTAATACCATGCTACATTTGATTAGGGACATTGTAATGTTTTCTATGTTGTAATAAACGTTAAAGAATATTATAAACGTTACCTTAAAGAATAACTGAGACTTAATTACCTTAAAGAATATTATAAACGTTGACGATAACCAATTACTTGTTGGAACACAAAAATTTGTTCATATCTCTAGCAACCATGTACATAACCTGCTTCGTACAACTTATAACACATTCTTATTTCAGATATCAAATTTCGACAGAGATAAAATCAACAAGAAATGACCATATACAATTGTAAATTAGCAACGGAATACTACTATTAACCTCTCTTAATCAATGATAGGGACAGAAAACATTACGGAGCCACAGAGGAATCGGCAGTGAGCCTTGAATACTTTTGCTCTTCATGTTTCTCTCGCTCAAATTATCTTCGATTTTTCCAAATACATTCAATAATGAATGGCTGAAAATATGAGACACTAGCTTTTAGATATTTGCGATATTTTACAATTTTAGCCCTTCCCTATCCATTATTTTCTCAGATAGCACCAACGCCAAAAGCATGGAGCAGAGCAGCTGCTTGACCTTATTATCGTTTTCTTCAATTGTGTGCCACTTGCCAAGTGTGTTGTAACCGGGTTTTCTAAACTTTTCATTTTTCAAATTTTCCGAGCTTGAAACTTTATCTCCATCACTTGAATTTAATTTAATTAGATTTTACAAAACAATCATTTTTCACTTTTTTTTTGCCAAGTCAGACATTGTGCCGGTTTTTTCGGGTTTTATAGCCGAAACTGATTATTCCGGTATTTATGATCCAATACCCTAACTAACCGGTCCGTACCCGGAACTGGTATCGAACCAATTGCATAATATCGGTCCGGTAACATCCCTATGTTAATGTATTGTTAATGTATATGCTTTATTTTTTTTCATTCTAATATATAGGAGATAACTAATGTAAGATAAGATATGTGCAAAGTTCTTGAAGTTCTCTTAAAAAGAAACTCATGTGGAGAAAGAAAACTCCAACATATATACACATATATGGTCAAATCATATTGATATAAGATACACTAACAACTAATTTTGATGCCTATTTAAGATATATAATTGCAATCGCTTTAGGATATATTACGAGTAACCTCAATGTCATATCATACCGGTATAAGATACACTAACAACTAATTTTGATTTTTGTTTAAGATATATAATTACAATCACTTTAGGATGTATTACGAGTAACCTCTTATGTGGCATTGAGGTGGCATCATGTGGAGCTAAAATCGCATCCAAATTATTGCATCATGATTTATGTCATTTTTAATTTTTTTATATTCCTTAAATTATATAAACTAAAAATAATAACGTGGCATCATAACATCCTATTTCGGTTTTGTTTGGGTCGTGAGGAAACATATGTTTTCGTAAGAATCCACGATGAAGAAACATGATTCACATGTAAGAGTGTAAGAAAAACTTAACATTTACACTCTTCAAACCTTCGGTGTTCAAACATATCATATGCAAGAGCATGTATGAAACTATAACATACTAACGTCACTACCAAATTTACAACTTAATCCTATTAGGGCCACAAAGTAGAAAGTGTAGTGGTATGATCATCGTCTAGTAACGAACAAACATCCTATAAATAGCTAGACAAAGCACACAAGGAAAAGAAAGTATGTTTCATCAGGATTGAATGAGGTGGATCAAACCTTCATAGGCGTGACCTTGTTATTCCAAGGTAAAATCATTTGCGACATACACACGGGCCTTAAGGGGTGTAATCCTTATTCAACCTAATTTTGGTCTTAGATGATTCCATTGATTTAATCTGGTTCATTGTTTCTAAAGATTTCTTAGTTTGGTGTTCATATCATTCATATCATAGAGATCTGATCTTTAGTTCTAGTATATTGACACATTGATTGCACCCTAGTCTATGAATCTAATCTAAGGGAGCAAGTAGAGTTCAAGTTTTTGTGGAGTTCATGTTGGAACAATAACCTGTTAGTATGGTCTTCAGACTATTCTTGTAATGTTTATTACATATGAGGTGCAATTATAGTGTGTACCATAATATTTGTCATATGACATATCATGTCCCTAGGATTAATTTATGTAGTATGATGGATATGACATTTATTCATAACTTGGGGACCTATTTTGTGTGGTTCTAAATACTTTCCATATGGTGTAATTGACAAATAAATACACAAATTTGAGAGGGCGTACGTTTTAAGAGGGAATGACGCTTCTTCCTTCTGCATTCTTAATCATCTTTATAAACACTGTTATAGTGTGTGTAATTTAATCCATCAAAATCAATCATTTATACATCATTATATGAAGTGGAAGAATCATAATATAGAGATTGTCATCTTCAACATCAATGGGATTTCATATTCTTCAAGTAAGTATTCTTCAACTAATCTAGGGTTCTTCGTGTATATGTATCTATTAATCTTGGAGTGTGCGTTAATTACAAGATGTGGTATCAGAGCATGGTTTAATTTAGAATTATCAAGCCCTAAATTTCAGATTAAATTTATGATTCATGCCCTAACTGAAACAATGACGTATTAGAATTTTGAAAAACCCATATACTCCCTGATTTGGGTTTGTTTGTAGAAAAGATTTTAATGACACAACAGGTTATTAGGACATTGATGTTTAATCTTATCCTAAAAACGTAAAAGTCCTCTTTTCTTTGTGCTCCCATTCATCATATTTTAATTCACTTCAATATTCAGAAGACGAGAATGTTTTGTTTTTTGAATAATGAGACTAATTTCAACCCTAATTTAAACACTGAATGGGCCAAGCCAAAGCAATGACTGTCTGAATTTTTCATTAGTTTGGAATCAAGTATTTTTTTTCCTAGAAAAGTAGTCAACATTCATTAGACCAAATATTTCTTTGCTAAACTTATATTTTCTGTAGTGTGTTTGAATCGAGTTTAAAGAACAAAATCAAGAACATAAATCGTTAAGAACACAATCGTAAATAAGTTCTATTTGGCTCGTTGATTCGTCTGAAAGAGTATATGAGTACAAGAGAGAGAAAGTGAATGAAGTGCTCAAAAGCTACTCTCTACTTCTATACTATCTCTATTTATAGGGTGATACAAACTCTCAAAAAATATGTAAGGACTAGACATTACACCTCGACATCTAACAGTGCCTTACAAAATACATACATAGCGAAGTGCTAGACTTCAACACTACAAAGACCAAATAGGACTTCGACACCTCACTAGACATTTCGACACTTACAATCTCCCCCTTAGTGAGAAGTGTCGAACTCATGCCATCAGCTTCATGGTCTGGTGAAGTACTCTACGAACCTCTATATACCAAATAATTGTCTTTCGAATTTCAGCCTTATCAACTGCCTTATTCTGTTTGCAATTTTTGAGACGAACTAAAACTCTTGTATATTGAGAGTTATTGTACCTATAAGGAAATCATCCTTGTTGTTTACTTGAAGCTTCGAAACATCAAGAGTGCTTAGAATATTTGTCACATTGATCTGGTCATTCAAGTTCATCAAAGGGAAGTCAGCGATCGAAAAGTCACATACTACATTATTCGCTCTGAAAACAAAATAGCAAAAATTATGCAGTTGACCTTCGAACAAATTCTCGCTTGAAATATTCATCACTTTAACAATATTTACTGGAGACCATACTTCCTCTTCTTTATTACCCAAAACTGCATGAAATTTCATTTTTAGTCTTTTATATTCATCTTTGTCATCGAACTGACCAACCAACTTATATTGTGCAGAAATAAACATCATGTGATTTATCGGAAAATCAAGTTGGTTAAAGTCAGAGTTTTCAGTCTCATAACTCTTCTTTGGAGCTTTATGAAAATCATGCATTTTCCCCAAAGAAACAACTTGTTCGATAGTTTCATAGCACCAGTGTTTACTGGGATCACCCTTGTTCAAACCTGGTGGATCATTTTGTATTACCCTCAAAATATTGTTTATTTGTCTTTTCCTTTCAATTTCCAGCTCCAAATTCTTCTTCTTCTCTTCTTTAGAAGGAGTCATCTCAATGCCTTTCCCTTAATGTCCCTTATCATCTTTCGAAGGAGGTGGTTTCAAACATGAACCTGAGCCTCTAGCACTTTCTCCAATAACAATCCCTTTCGTTATCGGTCTTGATGTTGTAGTTGTAGAAGTGGTTGTCAACGAAACTGGAAGTGATGTAGAAATTTGAGTCGATATCACCTTCCCTACAAGTGTACGCTTATCGGCATCTTTCGACGGGCCAACACCTCCGCATCCTTTTTCTCCCCCTTGCACCATATGCTTCGCAGGTGGAGCATTAGTTGGTAATAGAAGTACCAACTTAAGGATGGGATCAAGCTCCGCCTTGATGTTTGATTTGATAGAAGAGATCATCTTGGAAATAGATTCTTGAGAAACTGAAGATTGTTGGGAAAGATCAACCTTCAACAGAGATTCTTTTAAACTGCTCAAAAATTCCTCCAACTTTTCAAAAACTTTGGTATATTGTTCTGTTTTCGCATCAAGTTTGGTTGAATACAAGGTGTTATATTCCACAAGCTTTGTTATGAAATCAGCAATGACATCAACTTTGCCATGAAGAATTCAATAATTCTTCTTTATCTTCTCCATTTCTTTCGTCATTTTAGACTTAAGCTCTGCCACATTGAGATTAACAGAATCTTCCAACTTCTTAACCTGCTCAACAAAAATTTCATGACGTTCTTTTGCAACATGACGAAGTTTTGTAACCTCATATTCAAAATTTCGAGCATGATGCTTTAATCAATCAACATGTTGTTGCTCAATTTGCGCCATTACAATCTTAAGGCGATTCTCCTGAGATTTCAGCATAAACTCCACTTTAACCCCAGAAACAAAGTTTCGTCCTCCTATATCAGCTTGGTTTTGTAACAAAGAGTTAAGCTTGTTGTTGAGAATCTTAAACTGTTTTCTTGACATAAGCAGATTATCAGGAATATTGTCTTCTTCAGGATCGAACTGTAAATCTGCAAAAGAAACCATAACTTCATCATCATCAGGTTCTTTTTCTTGAACTATCATTTCTCCTTATGTGGATTGAGAATAGAAAAGGGTTGTGATTGGTTCATGCATGATTGTGGAGAATGTTGGTGAAATTATAGAAGTAGGAAGTGAAGATGGTATTCGAGAAGATAAGGGTGGTAACGAAGTTGAGGTATCAAGTAGTGTGGTTTCGATGGTAGAAGAGAGAATAAGTGTTGTAGGAACAGTATAGGTTTCAAGAAAAGAAGTACCAAGGGCTTAGATATTCATCATCCCTTCACCCATAGTGAAATTTGTATTCGTATCAGATACGCTCACAAGGATGCCTGAGGTTTGAACCTCCTCCGTAGCGGACTCAGTTAACGAAACCTCTGGTGATGTGATTGTTGCCTTCTCATGGATGGAAACAGACGGATGATCATGCAAATTGGAGGTTGTTTCCATATTAGATACGTGCACATTGCCACCAGGATTTTCAGTCTCCTTGAAAATCGACTT